ATCCCTATTAGGTTGGAGGCCAATACTACCAGTAGCAAGAAGCTACTGGTAGCAAGAAGCTACTAGGTGGAGGTATATTTTGGAAGCTCCGCCTTCCTTTTTTGAGCCTCTCCTTCCTAACGTCGACCGAGGCAGACTGCCGAGGCGCCGTGCTGTGCGTCGGTCGTCGCGGCGGTCGCCGAAACGAGGGCGATAGCCGTAGGTGAGGAATGGAATGAGGTCCAGCCAAAAGACTTCACGGAGAAAAGTCCCACGACCTCTTCTCTGACCGCTTCGGAGATATTTTGTTTGACCATTGAAGACATATCGGCAAAACAAGGGCATTCAAGCATGTCCAACATGTACTACATAATCTACATGTTTACCACTTCCATTAGCCAAATGGAAGGAGAGTGCTTTGAAACGGGTCGATGTTGTTGAAGGCCCACGAAGGAAAGACCGGGCAAAGAAAGATGCATGGCTTGCGTACAAGGCGCAGGTCTCGAGCTGAACTGGCAACTTCCAAGCCAAATGCTGATGTGCCAGCAGCACCAGGCTCACTTTGCCGCCAACTCCATCAATGTTGGGATCCAACAATCTCAGCTGCGTCGTCAGATCAATGAGAATGCACAAGTGGTGAGGGCTTTAGCAGAAGGCTTAGCGTTACTTGACAGCAGCCGACACAGCAGATCAAGGTGCGTGGAGACATTGTGCACAAACTTCACGATGAGGTCCTTGATTGCACAGGCAATCTCAGGACTGCTGGACTGAGCCTGCACATCGCGAGGGAACGGCATGACCTTGGCCACATCGTCAAACCGTTTGACCGCAGAATTCTCAGAAGACGCCTTCGTTTGAAGGACAAGTGCTTGAAGACTCATTGGAGAGGGAGCTCACTCTTGTTGAGACCAACACCAAGCAAAGCAACCAAATTGTGAAGAAAATCCTGTGACGCTGTTTGGGTCCACTAGAAACAATAGTTTCCTCTTGCCTGGGTCAAGACCGTGGTGCAGTTAACCCCGCAAGAAATGACTCGGGACATTCCACAGTCGACTCAGTCGACTAGGATAAGATGTTCTCTATTATATCATATTACATGTGTTTAATTGAGTATAGGTTGATTCTTTTGTCATGGCCACCAGCTGAAAATGTTCCCGTTGTATTCTACTGTTACATCATGTATCATACCTACCTTCATCAAGAACTTCCATACGTTCCATGCAGCCCAGCAGCCCAAAGCGCTCCTGCCAAGTCTCGCGCCGGAAGCCTTCGAAGGGTCAGCTGGGTGGCATCCACCTCACGCAGTAAGGGACGCTCCGCGTGTGGTGGCACGTCACATCCTAGACACCCAAGACACCCTCGCGACATCAAGTAGAGAGAGCGATTTGTGTGTGTGGTGTGTGTTCTAGAGCTGTACCTGGGCCAAATCAATGTATATAAATCGATGTACAGCATAGTGACTTAGTTGGAGCCATCTTTGCTTCACCCTGCCTTGTTCAAGACTTGCACACCCAGGGGCTCAAGAAAGCTTTTCGACTCCAGCAGCTCCTTCCAGCGTTCGGATGCTTTCAGCAAATTGCGACTTCTATTTTGGCCCAATCTGCAACTAGTAGCGATGCACTTGTAACTAGTAGCTTCGCGGGTTCTTGTTACTCGTAAGGCACCTTGTTACTAGTATTAGTAGCGATGGCCTCCAACCCAATAGCGATGGCCTCCAACCTAGTAGCTTCTTGCTACTAGTAGTAATTCATGCACTTGTTACTAGTAACTAGTAGCGGCTTAGTAGCGATGCACTCAGTTGGTGACAACTGCCAACATAATCTTCCAACTGTGCAACAAATTTCTGCCTTAAAACCAGCCCAAAAAAGGCAGAGATGAGATGTTGCATAGTTGGAAGATCCAGGTATCGCAAGCCCAGAAGTACAATTGTGTAACGGTGTTTCTAACTTCACAGACCTCGTATCTCACAACTCCGTTGTGCTTCGCACAACTGCCAGTTTCGGTCTTTCTTTGCCCGCATCAAACCTTCCCATTGGACCACCCCAAAGAGGTCCGCAGGCGTCCTGCTGCATGCGCGTCGAATCCGGCCATCGCAGTTCAGTCGTCCACCACTCCAATGGCGCCAGGCCGCCCAGCCTGGCCTTCACCAACTTGGCCGCGGCCACGGTAAAGAGGTGCCTCGACATTGGACGAAATGGGCTCAAAGCAATCCTTTCATTTTGGCCCCTGAAAAGACTCATTGGAGAAGAAGGCAACCCGTAAGAACTGGGTGCCACTAACGGATTATGGGCTATGACCTTAAAGATGATTTAGATTTGGTTAAAAAAGGCGAACACGGCTGGTGCCAAGCTTGGTCGGTGACTCTTTCCGCGGTCCGAGGGCAAATCCACCTGAACACCAAATTGCCACCATGGGGGATTCAATGCTTCCCGTTCTGTGATGCCAGAGGTTCCTAACAGCTTGAACATACAAATCACAGGCAAAAACCAAGGCCATGAATGAACTGGATGCATTTCCACTGTGACGAGGCGCGTATACTCACCCACAAAGAGGAGCCGCTTGGCCCGCGTCCCAGCAATGAGCAGATCTGGGATCTTCCTTGGTAAAGAGCAAGGCAATGAATGGTCGAGTCGAGAGTGGTTGATAATTGGCACCGATCCAAAGATTGTGAACATCCGTACTGTACTATCTTGGCCATTGAACCAGACCTTCATTCATGACTAGCAAACAGCACCTTCGAAAGCATTCTCACATCTACCAGCAAATCAACTATGCGACGTGGACAGTAGCTTGGGGACTGACAAACATGGACGAAAACCATTGTATACCTGCAAACCTGCAGAAACGGCAGCAGCTCTGGCATCCAAGTGCCAATGTCAAGACAACCGCATCCATAAAGATTCAAAGAACACCATGGTACATCGGCCGCGAAAGCGGTCAACAGCGGGATGAAGCTAGAGCATCGAGAGCACTCGGGCCAGTGACATCTCCACCCAAGGTCTCAAGAAATCCATATAACACTCGACACTGCGGTGAGAGTTCTGACTCATCGGCGCAACGAGTCAACAACCCTCAAGCACCCCAGAATGCCTTTTCCGATTTCCAGCTATCTAGTGGCTGCCTTTGATGGCTTGAGGCACTTTTAGATTAATAACTTTATAATTTATAGCGTTTAAAATTTTACAATAAGACAACATAACAAAACCGAACTTCAAAACTGTTCACTAATCTCCTTGGCGAGCTTCAGAAACTCCTCCTCGCTTCGCCCGGCTGAACTGGTCACCACTGTGCTTCTGCTCTGCGTCCGGCCGCGCTCGGGCTGTGGTGCTGCTGGAACACTGGGTGGAGGCGTGGCCGGCAGCGTCGGCGCCGCGCGGACGTTGTTGAGAGCACTGCGTGTGCGTGGACGCTGTGGGATGCTGCTCAAGGAAGACAAGCCCAATTTCCTGCACAACTTGTTGCAGACGTGCATGGATCTGAAACGCTGCATCGCTGCAGATCCTAAATCTGCTGCACCGAAGGATTGATCCAGCGAGAGAATTTGAGGATCTGTCAAGTGAACGCGCTTTGATCCGAGCAAGACTCCTTGCAGGTCGGCTACCATCATTTGGCCTCCGCTGTCATCCAAAGAGAAGTGGGCAAAGGCTTCAGGGACCATGCTGTAGTTGGAACTACCTTCTGGGATCAAGATCTCACCGCGATTGTTGATCCATTTCAAGAAGCCCCGCTGGGATCCTTCCAAGAACGCCTCTCCGGTGAAAAGCATGCCCTGCACCTCGTAGACAAAAGACTGTGTGCATTTCACCATTCGAGGAGGCTCCCAGTCATCACCGGAATCAGCCCAGCACCGCCACAACACGGCCTCGTGAAACTTCTGGCTGAACTTTCGAGTTTGGATCGTGCTCTGTGCAAAGCCTTTGATGAAGTCCCAGGAGTTATCATCTCCAACATACCTCGAGAACTTCGCGACCATCTTTGTTGGGAGATCCTGATCTCGGAACCGATGCACCAATCGCATGCCACCCTGCATGAACGGATTGTCGTGCAAATACACGATGCACTTCTTGCTTCTACTTTTCATGAGTTGTCCACCACGTAGGACGAGAGTGGTGCGCATCCCAGCCTTGGCCTTCTTCTCCTTGATATTGTCATTGTTTCCTGAAAAGCGCTTTGCGCTGTCGAAGGCCACCTGCCTTGTGTGGCGCTCCCGGCGGTGCACAGTGCTCCGCGTTTCGGTGATAGTCTTGCTGACAGTTGTGAAAGTGTTCACGAGACTGTCAATATCCATATCTGCACAGTTGAAACTCCCTCGGCCAATCTGCGCCAACTGCTGGAGGATCGAAAAGTCGCAGTTGCCGAAACCGATGCAGTGGAGAATGACATGGGGATTTTCGGCTGCCACAGCCTGAAAGCTCGGTAGCACATGCCTCTGTAGGCCTGTAGGGCAGCCATCGGATAGGAATATCACGCGGCAGACTTGCCCCGGCACTGCTAACTCACGTATGCATCTCACAATCTTGTCGTAGACCATGGCTCCGTCAGGGGTGAAGTCAATCGAGCCCAACTTTGCAATTGCCTCTGAAGCTCTGAGTCGATGGAATCTCACCTCATGCTTTGACGTCGCAAAGGTAACCAAGCTGTACAAATCCATCGCAGCTCCCATGGACTGCTGCTGTGCAATGAAACGCTTGAGGACCGTCACCACGGCATCGATTCGCCGAAGTTCCGGGCGGCCTGTGAAGTCTGTTCTGCTCATGCTGCGGGAGAGATCCACGAAGAACATGATGGAGATGGATTGGTCAATAGCACTGGGCTTTTCGAACGCTTTCAACTCGCCAAGACCATCTCTCGCTTCATCTTCCGAAACCTCTGAATCCAGCGAAACGTTGCCTTAGCATCACTGCACTCGAGATCAAGGGACTGGCAGGCTGGTGTACCCTCTCCGTCATGAGACAAGAATGTGAAACAATGATGCTTTCCGCTCTTGTGGCACATATCCACTGCGTCGCTTGAAAGGCTTGTAAATGCAGATTCAGGCCTGTGTGTGTGTGTGTTTGTGTCTCAAAAAGTTGATTGGATCTGTTATGGTGATGTTCAACCATGGAGCCGGAGACAAAATAGAAACCCGCAATCCAGGGGTGTAGGGTGAGACCTGGTTTGGGGCAATCATTCGAACTTGGAAGTGCAAACTTAGGATCCAGGCTTCGCTAAATCATTGCATGAGTTCCACTAAGACTGGGTATGCTAGCCATCCTGCAAAGGCCCGGGCTAGCTTCAGAAGCTGCATCCAACCATTCATCCAACTCGTGCTCGGGTAGCCTGGCGCCGTCTTCGCTGGCAGCGCTGAAAAAATCCGCATCATCCTCCCGATCTGCAGCCCGTGCCATGAGACGACAGGCGAATCCTGCCAAGGCTCAGCACCCTTTGTAGAAAAGCCAAGATATGGTAAACACTTGGATACTAAATTAGAAAATGATGTAATGCTGCTACCGCTACGACTGCAGTCTACAGTCGAACTGCGGCCAATGAGATGTCTTTGTTGCATGTTGCTGGTAAGGCTTGTTGCTTGACCTCTGGTCTGTGTTTTCTGCAACTCTTTGGCATGCTGAAATGGCTGCGTGACCCCGTCTCCTTTGATTCCAACCAACCAAGCAAGAGACCAGTCAAAGGTGCAAGCAACTTGCGCATCGATCTCTAAACAACGCCCCTCTCCCCCTCTCCCGCTCTCCAGTGACCAGGAAGACCGGCGTTGGTTTCCGAGGTGCTACCGACCAGGAAGAGAATTGCAGCAGTGAGATCCACCAGGTCGCGGCTGTCCGGGTCCTGTCGTAACAGCGAGACCTCCGTCCGCCCCACCAGGACCAACCGGTCGCCTTCTCTGCCGTGGCCTGCCAATGGACGAGGGACCTGGGGTCGTTGGTGGGAACAGCATCCGTTCACCAGCACCAAAGAGTAGGATGAACACCTGATAATGGTAGGCAGTAGGGGTGGCTCCCATTTATAGAGCTACGAAACTATTCACATTCCTTGCATTGGATGAGAGAAAAGAAACTGAAACGGGGTCAATGAACGTGATATGCATGTTCAGAATGTGGAAATGATTACAAACGCATTGATATGCATTGATACCAAGCACATGGGCAGCATGACGGTTTCTTTTCCCAAAAATAAATCTCGCTAAACTACCCCGGACGCAAGGCGTTGAATAGCAAGTTGTGAATCAAATACCATACATGGATATACATGGTCAAGTCTTGGCTTCTTTTAGCACCCAATTTCCAGAATGAATGTCATTCTGAAGACTTTTGAGCAAGTTTTTTACCAGTTCTCCACATCTACGGGCAGGAACTCTCTTGCTAGTCTCTCACCAAAGACCATGTGACTTGCACCTTCCACCACACTCAAAACACAGCTAAGCTTCACCTATCACGATGGACAAATCAGCAAAACCTGAACCGCACACAATCTGTTGAAACACCTGACCATGCATGCACGCATGCATGCCATTCACATGTCCAACACATTTATCCCCGAGAAGTCTGAAAACACAAATGTGCATTGAAGAATCTGATCACCATATGAATCATATCATATATGCATACATTTCACACCTTAGGGTGGAGGCCATCGCTGCCAGGGTCCTGGTTTCTTTACCCATCACAGATCTACCGTACCCAGTGGTCTGCCGCCTTCGAAAGCCCTGCGGCTGGAGCGATGGGCGCCTTTGGAGACTTCGCCGACCTGGACGTTTGGAGACGTGACCGGTGGAATACCAACTGCATTGGGCTTCCAACCTAATAGCTTCTTGCTACTAGTAGTAACAAGTGCATCGCTAGTAGTAACAAGTGCCTTACTAGTAGTAACAAGAAGCTAGTAGAAACAATAAGCTAATAGCTTCTTGTTACTAATAGTAAGGCCAGGAGCCCCTAGTAGCGATGCCAGGAGCCGCTAATAGCTTCTTATTACTAATAGCAATGGCCCCCACCCCAGAAGCGATGGCCTCCACCCTATGTTTCGTCCTTTCTTTGGTGCCTTTGGAGGCCGGAACTCGTCCGCCCAGGCCGACGAGCGTGGCGATCTTTTCAGGCCGTCTTCGTTGATTTTCACTGTGCATGTTTCGGTGATCTCACCGCGCCAAGGTTTCTACCAGATGCTCCCTTCAGCCAGGAGGCTCCGAACGGCCCTCGTTGATGATGACCTGGCTCCGAGCGGGCATATGCGGGCATCGGATCAAGCTTCAATGCATAATCAAACTCCTCACTTGACAGTGGATATCGGTTCTCAATGTTTTGCATACCCTATATAATTTTGACACATGACAAAGCTCTTCATCCTGCTGTTTTGTTGTGTTCCTTGTTGCTTGCTCAAATGTGTTTAGGCATCAAAGGAGCTTGGAGATTGCTCCCAAATGAAAGACTCAATGCAGACGCTCGTGAGACACGCAGGATATTGTAAATCTGAAAGTATCATAAACTAATGTCTGCACCTGCGACCATGGCGGCCGCCCTTTCTTCGCAGAATATGCTGCACTTTTAAACGTTGTGCCACGTTGTGCTTCTAAACGGTGTGCAACTCACTTTTGACATCGCCTCCTCACTTTCGGACTTGGGCGCTGCGGCACCTGTGACCTGCCGACTGAAGCTCAAAAAGTCCTCGTATCAATAACGGCAAAACTATCCAATTATTGTGGCATATTTGTACAATTTTATGCCTACATTAACCACTGAAACCACCCCAATGTATACAGATCGATAAATATGCCACACACGGTGTATACATGGATGGTCTGGGTACTTATAGCCTATTTATGCCCATTTTGATCTATTTTGCCCATCTGATTGCTGAAGGACACACACCGAGAAAAAACGGGTTTCAGATCACCTCGATGGATGCCACCCACCGCAAGGCCATCGCAGCCACGGGTCATGGCCCCTGTTTTTCACCGCGGACATCGTGGCATCGGGCTTTTGCCGGGCAACTTCGAACTTTGGCGGGCAAAATGGTTCGGCGTGAAAAGGGTCGCTGCCTCGTGAGCGACGCATCTCCCTTAGAAAATCACACGCAGCGATCCTTAAAGGCCTACCACGCCGGTCACGAGCTGAGCTCGTTGGGCTTCCTGGCCGGGGAAAAGGCGAGATGGGCTCTGACCCCCTATTTTGGAACCGCACTCCGTTGTCATGGCCTCCCACGTTGTTATTTCTTGTCATTTGCAGAAAAGGAACTGAGTGAATGCCTTTCACTGTCATGTAGCTCGGGCAGCTCATGTCACACTGGTCGAAGAGTCACGTCTCTTTTATATACATGTTTGTCCATAGATTCCGTTGTTCTGGCCTCCACGGCGGCCCGCATCCGTTGTGCGATCAGCGTGCTGTGCGTCACATGGTCGGGCGCCTGTGCTGGGCGTCCAATTCAGCGTCTGGGTCCAAAGGAATGAGCTGGTGAGTTCAAGTTCACGCAAAGTGTAGAGTCAACTGAAACAACAGGTTCTGTCGACCTTCCTTCTGCTGTAGAATTACTGTAGATCCCAACTTGATTTCAAACCTGAACTTCAACTGCTGAGAATGGAAGGCAATTCTTTCATTGCCATGCTGGAATGAAGCATTATTTAAAGAATATGTGCCAAAATCTCACGCAGGAGTGCTTGCACCATGAAAAATGCAGCACCTAAAGCAATTGCATTCATCATCACTTTCAGTGAGTTCTTGCTCACTGAAACCAGAACAGCGTTGCATCCAAGGCACCAAGCGGAACTGGTCAATGTTGCTGAACATGTGGAAGGCCTCGCCACAGTGACTTTTGGAGACCATCTGGAGGTGCTTTGAAGTCGGAGCAGCTACCGTGGATGTGCTGTGAAGTCGAGATTGTCTATATTAATTTACGGCAAACTAAGTTGCTTTCTTGAAAGGGCATGTGTTCCTTTCTCGGGAGTAATGGTCTATGATCGATGGTGGTCTTGAGCAACCCTCACAACTAGATACTTCACAAAACATTCACAGACCCACTCATCCCCCTTCGGCCCCCGCAGGTCAAGTCCAGAAGGCCAGCAAGCACGGTGAATGTGCAAATGGTCGCTCGCGACTCGCTCCGAGAAAATCAGAGCTGCCATCAGGTGCTCCAAGCAGTAGGTTGGAGGCCATCGCTAGTACGTAGGTTTCCTGTTTGGCTAAGTCGCCGCCGCAGACTTCACCGGTCTCGCCTCTTGCCATTTCGGACCGCTGGCCAGTGCAGAGATCACGTTGTTCACGCTGTGCATATCTGGCAGTGGCAGTGAAGGAAACGGGGGTAGAAGAAACGGCCAACAGGGATTCATCCAAGGGCAGCGAGCAGCGGTGCAAAAATCAATCCATAATGGAATATATGCGCAAGAGCCAAAAAGGATAATGAGCTCTCCAGTTCTCCCTGTTCACTTCGAAGAAAGGTCTACAAATGCTCCAACACATCGCCACTCACATCAGTTGGGAGTTCTTGTTCTACACCGTCAGAGAGGGGGTCGATCCGTCTCCCTCGGCCTGGGTCGATTTGCTTCGACATCATCGTGGTCAGTAGATCACCTCGAGGGAGGCCAAGTCCCGAGGACCGACCGGTTTGGTCGGTGCGGGACTCAACCCACTTGAAACCTATGACTCGATCAGTGGAATCTATCATCCCCAGTACACGCTGAACAGGAAAAAAAAAACGTTTAAAGGTGTCTGAACATATCTGAAACCACCAGATAACGCCTGATACCGTGCCGGTTCTGACGTCTGCCATGGAATGTTTGGTCTGGTATTCTATCTTTTATACCTCCAGTTTTGCAGTCTTCCCAGGCTAACCAGCCTGTTGCATGAATTCCTCTGATCCTAAGGATCCTCGAAAACTAAGTCAGAAGCAAGCGCTCGAGGAAAAAGACAGCGACAGTACCAGGGAAACACCATCTCTTTGGGTCATGGACAAGAAGCCTCGGCAAGCCAAACGTAACTTGCACTGGAGGCTGTCATCTTTCATCTCTCTCCACATTCGGTCTGCCCTGATCAGTGGATGCCGACCAGTGCTTGCGAAAAGGTCCCGTAAGGGGGACCCTTCCCAACTTAATGACCTGGGCTACAGGTAATGTAGACTCTTGATTCATGAACCCGCAAACATGGATTGCAAAACCTCTTCAGGCTTCGAGGAGGGTGTTATTAATCAAGAGTAAACATCCTAGACTCCCAAGACCATTCAAAACAATCGATGACTTGGTCTTGTAGTGTAAAACTCATTATAAAACAATAATCATATTAAAAGCCTATTAAATTTGCAAAATTAATGGTGGGCCAGGAATCCAAATAGGTCGTAGAGGTACATGAATCCATCCAAGCCACAAGTCATCTCCCAACCTCGATGGCCGCTCGCGCGAACGCGCGGATGTGTGTGGGTGAACGCTCTCCTCGGCTTGAACCTGGTGGCCAAACAGAAAAGGACGGCACACGGGCAAACGGCCCTGATTTGCAGAAAAGGAAACTTGAACGGGTAGGGTAAGGGCAATCAACATGGTGTTGATTAAAAAGGAGTACGGAAGAAATGATTACTCTCTGCCAAGTTCCAAGTAGTGGCCTCCCATTCATGCATACAGTCTTCAACGAGTGGTTATTCACTGGAGCTCCAGCTATCATGTTGGGTTGCCGCATTCTGCGCTTGCACCTCCCGCCAGATTCCCTGGCGCCAAGAAACAGCTGACACTTGTACACGCCGACATCACCGTGGTGTAGCTATACAAGTCGGCGGTCAAGCCATAGTCGGGCATTCGGCCTGCAGGAGCTCCATGCCAAAGTCAGAAAGATTCACGAAGAGCAAACTAGGAGCAAGGACGCTACTAGGGGCTCCTGGCCTTACTACTAGGAGCCCCAAGTCTTCTCACATTGACATCTGAGAGCTCATACGCAAATGTGCGCAAGTGCTGGAGAACCCCACTCTGTGCAACATCAGATTCATGTTGAGGTTCCAATTCAGAGTCAACCGAAAAAGCAAAAAGCTACTGATTCTAGATCATGGTTTGACATGTGCGAAACTGATGATTCTTGAGGTGAATAAATCTGCTTCTGGCACCTCCCCTTCACCCAATTCTGGCCTAAAAGCCGTTGGGCTGCCACGTGGTGGGAGCCGGTGCACAAGGCGTGAAGCACAGAGTTTAGGGTCACCACCTGACTGGCCGTGTTTCTTTTTTTGCCCGTGGCCCTGCCTCCTTACTTAATCAAGTAGAGACTATCTATATCTACCTATACTAAAATAAGTAAGGGCGACTAGTTAGCTACTAGCTTCGCTACTAGCTTCGCTACTAGCTACTATAGGAAGCTTCTAGTAACTGGACACAAGATAGCTCACGCTTCCTTGAAGAAGAATGATTTGGTTTCTAGATGTTTGTTCATCATGGATGGATGGATGGATGGATGGACGGACGGACGGACGGACGGAGGGAGGGAGGGAGGGAGGGAGGGAGGGATCGATGGAGAGAGCGACGGGCGTTGGGTGAATGGCTCCTGGATTCGTTGGTGGCTTCTCTGGCAGTTCATGAGTTTGAAATGATTTGTGGGGCTCGCAAGGAGACCCTCGGTCGTTTTCGTCATGCGTGGCAGCAGTGCACACCTCCAATGCCCTCCAGATTCTGAGCCCTGCACATTGGGAACAATTTTCTGATTCAACTCGTGCAAGACCTGCAAGCGCAAACCCATACAACACAAGCTTCACAACCCACGGAAACCACAATGCTTCTCGTCATTCCGTTATTTTTGTTTTAATGGGAGCGGTCGCCCAGCGAGTCTCCAACTTGCAAGGCCAGAGATTGCACCAAGCTGCGCACCACTGCATGGGGGTAGAACTCCTTTGGTTTCCATCGCTACTAGATTGGAGGCCACGCTATTAGGTTGGAGGCCACCGCTATTAGGTTGGAGGCCATCGCTACTTGGGCTCCCTACGTATGTCGACGATTGTTCAAAAAACTTGTCTCTCTTCTCGCATGGGTACGAAACATGCTGGAACTCTGTATCATGCCAGTATATGAGGAGTGGGCCATCAATACCTCTTTGCTATTTGCCCACATGCTCTAACAAAGCTGCAAAATGCCCTCAAAAGCACACGTTCATGCAATTTCATGTACAAAATCTCCTGAAACGACACTTCCCTCCAGGTGCCTGCAGTGCCAGGCTCCATTCGGAGGCCTCGGCGAAGGCATAGAGCAGGGCGTTGTAGGTCACCAAGGTCGGTCTGCCGGGAACGGTGACGCGTCGTTGTTTGGCGGCGAAAAGGTTCAATAGCATGCTCCTAGAAGCGTCCTCTTGCTCCGTTCGTAGCGATGCCAGGAGCCCCTAGTAGCTTCTTGCTCCTACTGTCCCCGTTTGCATCCTTCCATTTGACAGCAACTTGAAATGCATGGGGAGTTCGTGCTGGAGATGGTGGAGGATCTGTGGGGAGAGAGAGAGAGAGAGCTTTATGTGCACTGCACTTGTTTCTCTCTGAACACGAAACTGGAGTTCGGTGGTCCAATCCTCACACTTTTCGGTCTGCAAGGAACGAGTGAGTTGTACATTTGTCCTTGTGGCCTTCTTGGCAAAGGATCGCGTTCTTTGATGTTGTTTGTAGACCAAATGAAGCTTATTGCCTTCGGGCGAAAACGCGCCTGGACGTCTCCTGGAAGACATGCAGCGCCTGCGGCCAAGCGATGGCGCGGCCGCAGGCGGTGATCGCCGAGTTGGTGATCTTCACGTGCTCCGCCTCCGCCAGACGCCGCGGACGCCGCGGACGGCGAATCTTCACGGCGGATGCGAGGCGCTGTTCGGTGTCGAGGACGGCTGATCTGGGAGGGGGTGTCAACCTGATTGTGATGGGGAGTATCAACCTGAGCCTCGCTTCGACCATTCAAAGGAAGGTTGAGGTGCCTTTTCTCTTCATCCTCAAGAACGATGGCTGTTCGGTAAAGTGAATGAAAATCTATGAAATATTATATGGTGCTTGGAAGTCTACATAGTCTGATAACGTCGAATCCTGAAACCAGTGAGGTCCAAAGGCCAAGGGTCCAAGGGTCGTTGACCCCAGAGCCGAGCATGTCAGCTGAATGGAGTCCATCCACCCCTCCATGGTGCCCTTTCCCTGAGGGAACCCGGGAAGAAACGGCGTCCAGAGCTGGTTGACTTGCTTTTAATTTGAAAAAATGCTCCAACGTGACTCAGACACGGTGTCATTGTTTCCCTTTTTGACGGGAAACGACACTCCCTGGAATCTCCTGGAATCATCATGGAAATGGAAAATGCCCCCTTGGATGACCGTTTTCCTCTACAAACAGGTGGTTTCCCACTTCCATGCACATGATCCCAGGGTAGGAACAAAGGGCATCGTTACTAGGAGCAAGCCAGTAGCTCCTGGCATTCCTAGTAGCAAGAAGCTACGAACGGAACCAAGGGCATCGCTACGAACGGAGTGTACTTGGCCTGGCCGTTTTGGTCGTTGGAGGTGCCATGGCCTGGCCGTTTCGGATCTCGGGCAACATCCGCCTGGCGTTCGTCGATGTCTGTCTGCTGCTCGACCAGCTGCAAGGCTTCCTCCCACCTCAGCTGCAAGGCTTCCTTCCGAGGAAAACACTGTCTTCTCCGCCCTGGAAACAAAGAGATCCAGCAGAAATTGATTGGGGATCAGTGATTTGGTTGGAACATCAAATATCCCTTTTGATTGACCTAAAGACCGCTGTCACCAAGGCAAGGATGCAGGCTGACCATGTCCCAAACATGACTAACCTCCAAGAAATGGGACATGTTTTTACTGTACATTTATACTGTTTTATGGAAAGTACTCCTAGAGTCCTAGAGTTTCTGAAAGGGATAGCCTCCAACCTAATAGCGATGGCCTCCAACCAACCTGGAAACGATTCCAAGTTGGCTGGACCATGTTACACAGTATACTTTGCTATGTGAGGAGGGGCTTTCCCCTGGTTACGGGCAGCAAAACAGCTGCTTGCCCCAACGCATCCCACAGCCAGAATTGCCGGTGAATGGATGAAAACCGTGGCACCCAAAGGAACAACGTGAAGCTTCAAACGATGCACTCCTTCATTCGCTCCAAAGTTGATGGCTGAACCGTCTTCTTCGTGGCTCAGCCGTTCACACGTTCCTTCTTGGCAGCATGGTCAATACTTGTTCGTAGCTCCTGGTGAAATGCCTGAAGGCCTCAACCACTACATGTGAAAGAAACATCTACGCACCACCACCTCACAAACATGTCCAAAAAGGGCCTAGGTATGTTGGTATGTTGTTTTAGACTCTACTACTCATGCAACAAGTAAAAACACCGAACGCAGTTTTTGCTTCTTTCTGTGTTTTCCTTCTTTGTCTCTTGGACACCTTGTCCTTTCTTTGTCCTTCGTTCCTAGATGTTCCAAAGCAGCACGTCTACCGTCGCTCCCTCTCTCGCTTCCCCAACCGGAACCCCCGACCGGCTGCAGCCAGCAAAGGCGGAGAGCAAGGCGATGTAGGTGACCTCGGACGTCGGACGACGGTCGCCGTCGCGTGGCGTTTTCCACCGGCGTTTTTCGTGGAAAGAGAGGTCTCTTCCGAACTTGTCTTGCTGATTATAATTTGCGCGATTTGTATATATATGATTAAATTGAATTTGAATTAGTTTCTAATGGCTTCTTGCTCCTAGTAGTACGGCCAGGAGCCCCTAGTAGCGATGCCCTTTGCTCCTAGTAGCGTCCTCTAGGTTTCCTAAATATAAACATAGTTTGAGGACTTCTTTTTCTAAAGATCTCGACACATCTTGTGATGCTCCCACTTCCGAGAGCTGATGGAGAGGCGGACCGTCCAGCGCCGCAGTGGGAAAAGTCGAAAGCCACCGGGTGCGACCATCGGATGGTTGGTCAATGAGTCAATAAAAGAAATTGGTGTTTGTTTACTTGAATAGGGAGACACAATCTGGGTAGACATGTTGTTTTCCAAACCTTCCAGA